GAGTGCTGGGATTACAGACGAGTGCCACCCACTCCCTTTTTAAAACACAGCTGTATCTGGGCTGATTTGCTTCTGAAATCTCTAGCAGTCAGGGACGGCCGGTTCATTGGGCCCAGTGCTAATGACTGCAAAGCCAGCATGTCACCATGACACAGCAGCTACCGGTGCAGAACCTTGGCCCAGAAACGCGATTTCCAGCACTAGAAACAAAAGCGTAGGCCTGCTAGGCGGTGGAAACATTGTTTCCCGGGCTTCCTTCAGCAAGCAGCCCTGCTGGTCTGGCTTCCATCGGGCCCTTTGTGACGGCCGGAGGCGGGCACTGGGGACGTGTTCCTGCCAGCTCTGACTGCCCTGGAAGAGCCTGGGAGGGGCTGAGTGGGACTGTGCCTTCTTCCCGGGAGGGACAGGGACCAAGAGTGGTGAGCGCCTTCCTGCTTTTCTGCCAGGACGTTCAGAATCGGCTTTGTCTCCAGCCAGTGCCTACCTTCCAATGGAGATTTGCGCCAGGCCTGGTGGCGCAAGCCTGTCGGCCTGCAGTGAGGCAGCACCAGAGGCTGGGGCAGGTGGATCACTGTGCATTCAAGGCCAGCCTGAGCTACATTGCAAGATCCTGGTGCTAAATAGATAAACGAAAGAAATGGAGTTTGGCATAGAAGCAACGTTGTCAGGAGCTTCAGCCTGGAGCGCGTTCGGGTCTTGAGATCCCTCGTGGAGAAGCCATAGTGAGGGCTGGGGAGGTGACGTGCACCTGCAGCCCCAGCACTCAGGAGGCCGAGGCAGGAGGGTCCTGCGAGTTTGAGGCGAGCATGGGCTATGCAGTGAGTTTAGGGCCAGCCTGCGCTGCATAGTGAGACTGTCTCAAAAAAAAAAAGAGACGGGCCAGGGAGATGGCTCAGTAGAATAAGCGCTTCCCTGGCAAGAGCAAGGGCCTGAGTTCAATCCCTGGTTCTGCAAAAAAAAAAAAAAAAAGCGAAAAAGAAGAAACCATGGTGAGCATGTGACCATCTCTGTTTGCTGACACAGAGGAGAGAATGTTCTGGAACCTGATGCCCTTCACCACCAGGGACTTCTCCATCCGGTCCCTGGCCGACCGCCTGGGGGACTTGAACTACCTGATTTACGTGTTTCCTGACCGGCCGAAGGACGAGGTGTATTCCAAGTACTACACGCCGGTCCCCTGCGAACGCGATGCCGGTAACAGTGGTTGTGTTCTGGTTCCGTGTCGTTGCAACTTTGCTTTTCGTTTTTTCCTTTGTGTGTGTGCTTGTCTGTGTCTCTCGTCCGACACCCCTAGAGTCAGGGTCCAGTCTCTGCCATCAGCGTATCCAGGGCAGCCGAGAGCCCTGGTTTGTGTCCCCATTTCATATCTACCACTGCCACGCATGGCAGGCCCAGGGCCACGCAGGGAGTTCCAGCCAGCCTGAGTTCCCTGAAGGATCCTGTCTCAAAAAAATAAGGAAAAAAACCCCAAAAAAACATCAAATAGGGTAGCGGCCAGGCAGGGCGGAAGTGCCAGCACAGAGGCTGGGCCTGGCCGAGTCTGGCTGCAGGCCCGCTTGCACTCACCTCTAGTGCGCCGGTCCTCCCCACCCGCCCGCGCGCCCAGGTGCAGCAGGTGAGCGCTCGCTCGGAGGCTCCAAGCTGGCGCCCTGGTAGCTGAGATGCTTACTGCTCGGGTTATTGCCTTTTCGGTTATGATGAGTGTTGAGATAACCTTGGGCCTGGATCTGGATAACCATTTCCTTAAGAAAATTTTTCTTTTCTTTGTTTTTTGAGACTGAGTATCACTCTGTACCCCAGCTGGCCTTAAACTCCAAGCGGTCCTCCTGACTTGGCTTCCTGGGTGCTGGGACTGAACGACAGGTTCTTCAAGCAGGATTTGTGTCGAAGGGTCTGCGCTTTCTAAGCGCTCTGTACGTCTTTCTGGAGGTGCCCCTCAGAAAGCAGACTCTCGTTTCCACTACCCAGATGTGCTGCAGGCCGCTGCCTCAGCATCCTCCTGCTAGCACAGGCTCCAGCCCCCGTCAGCTCGGCCAGGAAGGGGAGCATAAGTGGGGTGTCTTGGTCTCTCTCCCCCACTGCGGCGCTTCTGTACACTTGCAGACATCTTGCTGATGATGACCACAGTGATCAGCAGTGCTGTGCCTGCGGCTCGTGCGCCCCGGGCCTTCCCAAGCACTTTTCGTACTGGGCCTCATTTCATCCTCAGGGCGACTCCGAGGGCACATTACTGTCCCCATTTTACAGACAAGAAAACTGAGGCCTGGGAAAGTTAACTCATCTGCCTACATCCACATGGCGAGGAAGCAGCCATGCTAGGGCCTGAGCTGAGTCTCCCCAGAGCCTGAGCCTCTGACGTGGTATCACGGGCCATTGGCCTTTCATCTGCGGTGTGTGTTGCTATTCAGGGATCATTTTTCTTTGAGCTACTTTTTTTTTTTTTTTTTTTTTTATTGCAGAGGTTAGGGGGACAGGATCTGGCCTATGTATCCCAGGCTGGCCCTAAAAAAAAACCAAAATGGCCAGCCAAATAGCTCAGCAGGTTAAAGCACCTGCATGTAGGCTCGGGCTGGGGATTATATCCCCAGGCCTGTCATGCCGGCTTTGCCCCTGGGGCGCGCTGAGCCCCCAATTGAGACTGGGTGTGGTGGTGCACGGCTGTAATCCCAGCTGTTGGGAGGCAGTAAACAGGTAGATCACTGCGAGTAGATCTAGTAGTGAGACCCTGAACACCCTGTGGACCCTTTTTTTAAAATACAAAAAAAAAGACCTCACCTGGCCAAAAAAAACCCTATTCCTAAAGCCTTTCCCTAGTTTCATTTTTGTTGCTGGCCTGCTTTCTCCGAGGACTATAGCACAGAGTCGCACCTCCGCCCCAGGCTGCTGAGTGCTGGCTCAGAATTTGCCAAGCACAGGGCCCCAGATGTCATAGTTCAGGTGCCACCGTCTCCACCTTGTGCCCGCACTACTCTCTTCTCTGGCTCAGAAGCGGGTCCCACCGTCAGCCTGAGTACTGCGAGTGCCCTGGGGTGGGCTCAGATCACCCCAGATGCAGAAGCTGCAGGTGTGAAAAGCTCACAGGAGCCGGAGAGGACCCTGGGACGGCAGTCAGCAGTTGCGGTCCAGCGCTTGGTTTTCCTTCATGGTCCCGAGAGACGAGGCGGGCAGCTGGGGTTGTGCTGTTGTCCTAAGACAAAGGCGGGTGGCCGTGTCTCCTTCGTAGAAAAGGGACACTGCAGTCTTAACTGAGATGCCTTTTTATTTCACCCCCACTGTCCCTGCAGCTAAAGCCGTGGATGGCTACGTGAAGCCACAGATCAAGCAGGTGGTCCCCGAGTAAGTGTCCAGCCTCACCCGCCAGCCTGCCCCTTTCTCCATCTGCTGTCTCCCGCGGCTTAGCCACCCTGTGGCTGGACCCGCACCCCGCACCTCCTCTACCCCTCCGCTCCCTGCAGGCCACCAAGATGCCCCTGAATTGCAGCCCCAGAAGGTGAACTTCTCTGTTTTCTGCCTCCCTGGCAGGTTTGCCACCGCCTCTGCAGATGCTGGGGCCAGCGCCACCTACATGGACCAGGCCCCATCCCCAGCCGTGTGTCCCCAGGCACCGTACAACATGTACCCGCAGAAGTAGGTTGTGGTCTCAGCTGGGGCTGGTGTCGGGCTGCACTTGTGTAGGGCTGGGGTGTCCCCAGAGCCCGGTGGGTCTCGGAGCACCCGGGCCAGCTTAGACTGGCTGGTGGGGTCCAGGAGGACTCAGGCGGGTGACATCAGCAGTTTAGAGTGGGGCTGGGTGGAAGTGCCCCTTGATATGAAGGCTGGCAGCCCTGGATGTCCAGGCGGCAGCGCTGGGTGCTGGCCCGGGGACTAGGGCCCAGGCTGTCTGCAGACCGGAGCATTGGAGCACCGCAGGCCCCAGTGTTCAGACCGGCTGTGCTTTTCTCTGTTTTGTCTTTTTGAGAAGGGGCTGCACTGTACAGCTCAGGCTGGCCTAGAGCTCACTGTGGTGCCCAGGCTGGCCTCGAACTCACAACAATTCTCCTGCCTCAGCCTCCCAGGCACTAGGGTGACAGGCGTGTGCTACCATGCCCAGCTGGCCCTGCTTTTCTAGAGGCCCCCACTGAGGGGACAGGTGGCCCGGGGCCCCTTACCTGGTCTCCTGGGGGCTCCACTGGCCTCTGACCTCCCCCCTTCCCCTCTAAGCCCTGATTCCGTCCTGGACACCGATGGGGACTTTGACCTGGAGGACACGATGGATGTGGCGCGGCGTGTGGAGGAGCTCCTGGGCCGGCCAATGGACAGTCAGTGGATGCCCCACGCGCAGTCGTGACCCGGCCTCCCGCCCGGCTCCGCCGCCCCGGTGGGGGACAGCTCTCGGGGATGCCACATCCGTGATCCGCTTCTCCTTGGAAACAAAGCTTATAATGTGAAGTGCTGATTGTAGTCGTGACCTTTGTGCCCCGTGCACGCAGCGCCTGCGCCCGCGCGTGCGCTGTGCTTGCCTTTTGTGGCACTTCTGCCCCTCGCTCTCAGAGCCCGGCGGGCCTCGCGTTCTTTCCGTGAGCAGCAAGGAGGCACCTCTAGGGTGGCGCATGGCGACCTGTGGCTGTCCCAGTGGGAGAAGGACAAAGGCATTTGGCCTAGGTGGTGACAGGGCCTGGGCAGCAGTGGCTTTTGGAGAGGCGGTGGCCCTCTGCATACCCCCGCGCCCTCCCGCTGTTCCCTCCTGCCTCTGGCCTTGCCGTTTGTCCCTTGTGTGTGTCCCCCTGAGTGGGCGTCAGGACGGAGTGCCAGCCAGGGGTCTGTGCCCCCAGTGGCCCTCAGGCTTCCCGAATGCTTTGTGCCCATAACGGCTTCTCACGCGTTGAATGGTTTTGTTTCCAAATTGGGTCTTTTTTGTTTTTTTCATTGACACCAAAATCCTCGTCCTGCACCAGTTTTTGGGCCCTTCACATCGTGGCCACCCCCTTCTCCTCTCCCAGTTGGTCACCTGCCCAGTGTGGGGAGGAGGAGGTGATGAGGGGGCCTGAAGCCAGGGCTCCCTGGTCACCTCCAGTGCTGGGCGCCAGCCGGTGTGGTAATGGGGACCCCTCAGATTTGCAGGGAAGCCCCGGCCTGGTGTTGCTCCCCGTTTCCTCTGTGGATCACCCCAAGAGAAGGGGCAGGCAGAGGACGAACAGACAGCTTCTGGGTTGGCGCCTTGGTCCCTCTCCTTGAGGGGGGCAGGGTGCCCTGGGAGAGGTGGCTGGAAAACCTTATTTTTATACATGTGAGTAAATAAACATATTTTTTTTTTTTTTACAAAAATAACTTCTGAATTTACCAGTGTTTTGCTGTTCCGAATACTCCTCTGTAGTAAATTATTTATTGGAAGATGACTTTTTAAGAGCTGCTGTTTGCCTTGCCTGGGTTTCGTACGCTGATTTATTTTTCTATGCCAGGTGGTGGGCTCCACTTTGGAGTAGGCAGGTGCCCAAGTGGAGGGGCCACTGAGCCCCTCCTGTCACCCAGTGTCACTCGGATGCCCACCCCAGAGCCAGGCTCACCAAGCCCTTTCCTGCCGGTCTGGGCCATGCCCCACACCCCGCTGCTGATTGGTGGGGACAGGGCCTTGGCCCATTCCAGTTGGTGGCACAGCCTCAGGGCCCACTGTGCAGTTGGCACCGGCTTGGGCAAGGGACAGAGCTGCGCCAGGCCGGGGCACATGGGGGCGGGCAGGTGCACCCCTCGGCTGCTGCCAGGGAGGCCACGCAAGCCCGCTGCCCGCGCCAGCTGCTGCGCTGGGCCAGGCAGGCGCAGGGCTTGTGGGGTGGTGGGAGACTCACGTGAGTGTGTGAACTCGCCACGGTGAAAGGTTACTTTTTATAATTTTTCTTTCAAACTTTATGAAATTATTTGAGATACATATTTTAGTGTTGGGCAGATTAGTATATAGCATTGTGTACAATTCCAGGCAATCACGAAACTGCGCATTTTATGTTACTTATAATAAAGGCTCTGTGCAGGGACAAAGCCGACTCCTGTGTTTCTGTCTGCCGAGTGGCGGGGGAGGGGAGCCTCCTCAGGGAAAAGCCGGAGTCACAGAGCGCCCTGGCGAAGGGGAACTGGTGCAAGGAGGTGGGCTTCCAGGGTGTGTCGTGGGTGGGCTCCGAAGGCAGGTCGGGCGCCTCTGGCCCTCCTGCTCACGTGATATTTGGCTGATGAGAATGACATCCGGCTCTCCTGGCTCCCCGCACTCTCTCTGGTAGAAAGCCCAGCCTTCAAGTTGTCACACTGGTACTGAGCGTGCCAGCACCCCGGAGGCTGAGGCAGGGGTTGCCGCAGCTGGGGGGCATCCTGGGATACATGGTGAGACCCTGTTCAAAAAAAAAAAAAAAAAATTGTGGTTGCTTAGATATTGGGAAGACATTGGAAGGTGGTAGTTAAAAGAGTAGAGGGCTTTGTAGGGGTTATTGTCTTTGTTTTCAGTATTAAAAGTTAAAATCAGAGCCTTAGCACTGAACTACCTCCCCAGCTCTTTTTATTTTGAAGTGCTTCGTTCTCCAAGCTGCGCTTTCATCTGTAGTCTTTCTGCTTCAGCCTGCCAGAGTATGGGGATGACTGGTAGCACGCCACATCCAGCGCACCAGGTAGCCCAGGCTGGCCTCCAACTCACAGCAGTCCATCTGCCTCAGCCTCCAGAGTGCCGGGATGACCGGCCTGCGCCCCCACACCCAGCTGAAGGTTTGTTCTTAAGGTGATGAAAATGTAAAATTGAGACAGGTGCTGCGGGCCTGTGATCTCAGCTGCAGTGAAGGATGGGGCAGGAGGACCCCAGATCTGAGCCCCGCTGGAACAATTTATGAAAATCTCAAAAAACGATAGTTGGAATAAAAAAAGGTCTGGGGATGTAGCCCAGGGCAAAGGTCCTGGGTTCAGTCCTTGGCCTATGTGTGTGTGTCTTAAGGCGGTGCCTGGTGATCTAAGGGCCCCAGCTGAGACCCAGGGAGGTGGCAGAGGGGGAACAGCGACTCCTAATTGGCTGGAGGGCAGGAAGCTGACTTTATTGTCACCCAGTTGCCTCCTGTCCTGAAACTCTAAGAAATCTGATGCAGGTCAAACCAGTTAGCCACCCCAGCTGCCATCCAATTCCAGACAGTTTCAGTAAACTGGGGCTGTGAGGTCAGCTCACTCGGGCCAATCGACATCCTTCTTGGAAACCTGGGGTCCCTGGCTCTACCTGTCTACGGCTTCTTGGTGTCCCATGGCGCATGTTGCCTGTGGGCTTCGTAGTACTTCAGCGATGAAAGTCTTTTCTGTCTGACCTGGCGTGATCACACACACCTGTCACCCCAGCACTCGGGGAGGCTGAGGCAAGAGGGCCTCTGGTTTGGGCCCACCTTGAGTAACTTAGTGAGACCCTGTCTCAGAATAAAAGCTAAAGAGGGCGGCGTTGCAGCTCAGGACGACTTTAGAGAAGATGACCTCTGCGCAGGGAGCAGCTTCGGGCCTAGGGGCTGGTAAGCCTGCATCCGCTCCAGAGTGCAGGGAGCTTGCTCGGGCCAGTTTCCAAGCCCAGCTTTCTCTTCACTCTACAGGTTTGGAGACTGCTATTCATGGCCCAGCTTCCTAACGCAGCAGGTCCTCCTTCAGCCCCCTGTCACTTTAAGAGCACCCCCCACCGGATGTCCCCACAGGGCCTGCCCTTTAAAGTCACCAGCCACCTTTCTAGCCGGAAGTGGCAGAGTGCGGAAGTGCCAAAGTAGGCAAGACGCGGGAGGGACAGGGAGACAGGACGGCCAGGACCCTAAGCGGAGCAAAGCCACAGGCGTCCAGGAAGCGGTGTCACTGGTTAGGCAGCTGCTGTGTGCCCGCCCAGGGCTCCAGGAGCCAGGGCAGGTGCAGTCCTTTGCCTGCGCAGATGAGGATGTGAGCGCCGGAAACACACAGCCGGCTTTGAACCCAGGCCAGTGCAGCTCCCACGCTGGGGTGCCCTCTGCCCTAGGGGTCCTGGCATCGCCCAGCCCCTATCCTGGGATCCAGGCGCCGTCCCACAGGTGCTGCTGGCCATGCTGTGCTGGCTCCTGCTGCTCCTGCCGCCCTTCCTGCTGCTGGTCCTGCTGCTGCTGCCCACTGTGGCGCCACGCGCGTGCCCAGGAGCCAGCCTGGACTGGCTCACAGGCCTCCAGCAGCGCGTGGCCTGGGGCACCCTGGGCTGTGTGGCCGCCTGGCAGCGGCACAGACTGGAACACAGCACACGTCACGCTTCCTGCAGCCAGCAGCAGGCCCTGGCGTGGTGTCTGCGGGGAGCCCCAGGTCCCCGTGGCCATCCCAGGGGAAGCACAGGTGTGTATCGGGGCCAGGCAGGGCACACAAAGCTGAGAAAGCTCAGATCCCAGAGCCCGGGCTCGCCCCACCCGGGCCTCTTCAGGTTACCTGCTCAGGCTCTCACAGTCTCATTTGAAACTGGGGAGACCGAGGCTGCCTGAGTTGTTCTCGGTGTCTCTGGGGCCTACAGACATGAGAACCTTTCGGAACCACCTCCCTCTGACCACGGCTAGTCAAGCCCAGGAGGAAGAAAGTGGGTGGCAGGAGCAGCACCCCACCTCAAGCCAGTACCCCCGGGAGGCCGCCCTGCAGGTAACCTGTGGTGAGAGCCTGGCCCTTGGGGACCCCTCTGCACCAGCCCACGGGCGATCACAACAGTCTCTCTCCTCCCCAGGCCACCGTGCTGGGCCTGGCAGCCCTCAGCAAGGCATACCCCGCTGTGCTGGCTCCAGGGGCCACAGCCCGTCTGACCCCCACCTCCCCATGGCCACGCCCACTGCTCTGGCTGGGACCTATCCTAGGCCTAGCAGGTCCCCCTGGCGCTGAGGACCCCCAGGCCCTGCTGCTGGCTGCCCTGAGATCCCCGGGGCTCAGGGCCCTGGAAGCTGGGACTGCCACGGAGCTCCTGGATGTCTTCACAGGCCTGGAGGCCCATGGCGAAGAGCTGGCTAGGGCTATAGCTGCCGGGCACTTGGGAGCCCCTCTCCCAGGACGGGCAGCCGAACTCCAGGCAGCCCTGGAGCAGGGGCCCCGGGGTCTGGCCCTGCGTCTGTGGCCACAGCTGCAGGTGGTGGTGACGTTGGATGCTGGTGGCCAGGCCGAGGCAGTGGCTGCCCTCAGAGCCTTGTGGTGCCAAGGCCTAGCCTTCTTCTCTCCGGCTTTCGCAGCCACTGGAGGTCAGCAGATGCCTGGCAGGGCAGTGGGGACATGGGGTTGGGGGCTACCAATGCCTCTCATCTGCCCTGGGCTCCCCTCCTGTTCATACCCAGCTCTGCTCCCTGTGGGCCACCAGCTGGGAGCCGGGAGGACAGGGAGGACAGTGGTGTGGGCCAGGCCCAGGGTGAGGCCTGGCTGCTGTCACCCACTAGAAGAAGTGGCAGCCCCAAGTGACAGGCATGCCACCTTGCTCCCTCAGGGGCGCTGGCTCTGAGCCTATGGCCTGATCAGCCCCAGGGCATCTACCTCCTGGCCCCTGGAGCCCCCTTCCTCGAGCTGCTGCCGGCTAAGGAAGGAGCCCCGGAGGATGACAGCCACACCCTGCTCCTGGCAGAGGCCCAGCAGGGCGAGGAGTATGAGCTGGTGCTCACCGACTGTGCCTGCCTAACCAGGTGCCCACCCGCCCTGCCCGCCCAGCCCCAAAGGGCACAGGGGATCAGCTCACCTCCAATGCTGTCCTTTCAGGTGCCGCCTGGGTGATGTGGTCCTGGTGGTTGGCACCCATAATCAGTGTCCACTGGTCAGATTTGTCTACAGGTAGGTACCATGGGCCAGGGGCTGGGCCCTGGGCCCTGGGCTACGGGTCCCAGAACCTCCCCGTCCTCCTCCCCAGGCAGGCCCAGACCCTGAGCGTGCGAGGGGAAGTCACCAGCGAGCGCCTATTCTCCAAGGCCCTGCACCGGGCAGTGGCACAGTGGCCAGGCGCCCAGCTGCTGGACCACTGCTGCGTGGAGAGCGGCGTTCTGGGTGAGCACCTGGGCCCCACCTCCTGTCTGTGGATTGGCTGCCCCATGACCCTCACCCCAGGCCAGGACAACCACTCCTCAGTCCCCTGTACCTCAGTCCCCTCTGTGGCCCCTCACCAGAGTCCACCCCCCTTCCTGCCAGTCTCCACCAACTTTCTTCCTGCCCTATCAGTGCAGGCTGAGGCTCGGGGCTCCCCTCCATGTGACATCCACCAGGGTGCCCCTTCCCCATGAATCTCAGGAGGGAGACTCTCAAGCTGGGTGTGCCTGTCATCCCAGTTCTCAGGAGGCTGAAGCAGGAGGATCTCAGCAAGTTCAAGGCCAGGCTGGGCTTTATAGTGAGTCTAAGGCCAGCCCAAACAGCATAGCAAGACCCTGTCTCAAAACAATGTGGGGAAGGAGAGGGTACCCTCTCAGGGAATGGCGGGCGCGGGATCTCCACAGATTCCTCCCAGGGCTCTGCTCCGCGCTATGAGGTGTTCCTGGACCTGAGGGGGCTGAGGGACCTGTCAGAGGAAAATCGAGACAAAGTAAGAGGCTGGAGGGGTCTGACTGCTGCCTGGGGCTGGGACAAGAGTGGACAGTCCCCCTGTGGGGCCCTGGGAGGAAGGGTGGGCGGGCAGGCCTCACAGTGCAGGCAGCATGGCCCTGCACACACATAGGACCCTGAACACAGCCTGTGCAGGCCTCACTGTGACCTCTGTCCCCAGCTGGACCTCTGCCTGCAGGACGCCTCCCCGCGCTACAAGTCTCTGCGCTTCCGGGGCAGTGTGGGCCCAATCCAGGTGCACCTCGTGGCCCGTGGGGCCTTTGGCACCCTCCGAGGTACCCTGGCCTCATGGTCCTCACCCACGGCTGCTCCCGCCATGCCCCGCATCCTGAAGCACAGGGTCCTGGCCCAGCTCCTGCATAGCAGGGTGCTGTCCTGAACCTGCTCCCCAGAAGCCCTAGGTCACCAGGTCACCCAAAACAACTGACGCCAGCCCTGCCTCTGCCTCACCGGGCCATTCTGAGGGACAAGCAAAAGGGTGCAGCAGGGACGCTGCTGGGCACTCTCCACAGGACTAATGGCTCCCCGTGACCCTCAGCTGCAGCCCTGGCCTGGCCCACATGTTGGGGTGGGGAGATTCCCCAGGGTGCTGCCGCTCAGGGAGAGCCGATCTGGAGAAGAAAGGCTGAGTGACGTTGTCCTGGTGCGCAGTGGTGCTGACGTGTCCTCTGCAGTCCTCTGGAGGCCTCAGTCACCCTCCACCTGGCACGTGGCTCAGGTCTGCTCTGGGGAACCCCTAGAGGGCCCTGCCCACCCCGTGCCCTGTCCCCCCTGAGTGCACAGTGTCCCCCACTAGGCTGGACTCATCCTCAAGCACAGGCATGCACCAAAGGCTTTGGGGCACCCCCCCCCCAAGGCCAGGGCCTCACCTCTGTCCCCAGCAGACTGTAGGGGGCACAGCTGTTCCCAAGGTCCTCACCCTGCCCCAGCTGGTCTGTCTCCTGGCCTGGGCCACAAACAGCTTCCTTGCTGGGGACGCAGAACAGTGTCCTGACAGGGGACTCAGACCCACAGAAGATGCTTTCTAGTGGCTTCTGGTGTCCTTTTCTCCCGCTACCTGCAGTGGACATTCAAGGTTCCACAGTGTCACTCTGTGGAAAGGGCAGAAGGGGCAGAGAAGCCATACTCGGACCAGGGACCGTCTCCATGGAGAAGGGATGGGGGAGGGAGAGGCCTGGTATAAACACCTCACACCTCGGAGGTGGGTCCCAGGCTGCCCTAATTAGCCACTGCTTCCTCCGCATTGTCCCATGCCAGCGCCCAGCCACGGCCTCCTTTGTGCACTTGCATTCCTGGGTGCAAGGTGGCCTCATTAGTGCCCAGAGACCATCCAGTCTCCAGGGAGCAGGCAGGCAAATGCGAGGGCGCCTGGGGTGCCCATCCAGCCTGCACCACCATTCCTCGGCCCTGACTTGGAGACACAGCCCTGCTGGATGCTAATCTTAGCTGCGCCTTTGTCTTGCCCCTGCACGCACGTGGTTGCTTACCCCTGCCCCATACTTGGTGCGCTATAAACTCCAGGCCCCGGTGGCCTCACAGTCACAGCCACGAGGTTCCTGAGAACCCACACCCCTGCTGTGCAGACACCTGGCAGCCCAGACACCATGAGCCTGCCCCCCACAAAGGTAAGACCCAGGGACACAGGTGGGGTCACAGGAGAGGCCACTGCTGCCTCTCCGTGGCTTATAGCAGCTGTGCTAGCTCTCTTACGAGCAGTTCCTAGTCACCTCCTGTCCCCAAGGCCCTGCCAGCAGCTCTGCCCAGGAGTTGCTCAGTGCAGTCCACAGGTGTGGAAGCCTTGTCTCCAGGGGCCTGCAGGCAGCAGAGAGATGGCCTGGGGCCCCTCCAGTTTGCCTGCAGGAGAGACAGTGGGGAGACACAGGCACACTAAGTAAGGGCCTTCCTCTGAGTTTCCAAGTGGTGGCAGCCATAACGTCTGTGTCAGGTGGGGGCAGCCTTTAACTGGGCCAGAAGCTTTAAGGATCGGAGAGGAGGAGCCCAGCAGTGTCCACGGCCTGACTGTAGGGGGCGCTCTGCAGACGTCCGACGGTCCTAGCAAGGGTGCAGGTGCAGGACAGTGGAGTGACCATGAACGACAGATGGGGCGCAGTGCCGGCGATCAGTCAGGACCCCTTCCAGGCTCACAGCGCCCCTGCTGCCCCTTTGCCAGGTCTCCTGGGCCACCGTGTCGCTGCTGCTTCTGCTGCTTCTGCCACCCGCGCTGCTGTCCCCTGGAGCAGCTGCGCAGGCCCTGCCCGACTGCTGCCGCCAAAAGACCTGCTCATGCCGGCTGTACGAGCTGTTGCACGGAGCGGGCAACCACGCGGCTGGAATCCTCACACTGGGCAAGCGGCGTCCGGGGACCGAGGGGCTGCAGGGCCGGCTGCAGCGCCTCTTGCTGGCTGGCGGCAACCACGCAGCTGGCATCCTCACCATGGGCCGCCGTGCAGGTGCGCAGCTGGGGCTCTGAGCCCATAGCGGCCCACTGGGGTCTGGGTCCAGGTCCTCATCCACCCTACCTAACCTGCTCGTCAGTGAGGCAATAAACGTGAGGCTCCGTGTGTGTGGCTGGTCTCTGCCCTGTGGGCTGGGCTGGCGGGAGTGGGGCAGAGTCGGGAGTGCGTGAGCACATGCACCAGCGAGCAGCATCAGGAGGACCCTCCTTCCCCACCTGCAACCCGGGAGGTGAGGCAGGCTGCACAAGGAAGGCCTTGAGCTTCAGCGGGGAGCCTCCTGCAGTGAGTGCAGCAAGGGGCAGTGGCCGGAGACCGGGCGGTGGAGCAGGACCTCACACGGGTGCAGACACAGAAAGCTTGCCTTTGTTTTCTCAGTGCTGGCGATTAAACCTTGGGGAACATGGCATCTCCAGCTGTTTTCATCTTAGTTTGGGGCAGGGTCCCCCTAAATGTATGTAGGACTTCGAACTTAAGATCTTCCACTCTCTGCTAGGATAACAGGCACAGGCCAACAGGAAGGACTAGGGGAAGTTCCTGGGATGGGGGAGGAGAGGGGTCTGCAGCTGTAGGCAGAGGCCTGTTCCCCCCAAATTCCTACATGGGACTCACAGCCTCAGCACTGAGCACTGAGCACGTGGTCAAATTTGGAAATAGAGTCCCGGCAGATGATGCACGGGATGAGGAGAAATCCCAGCAGGGGGCCTCTCACCCTCCTCAAGTCGGGTTCTTAATAAGAGGGCCTTGGACACAGAGCCTAGGTCCACTGGATTCTGAAAGTAGACACGGGTGGAGTGCAGCGGCAAGCCTGCCAGTGCCAAGGTATCTGCAACCTGGGCCTGTGTCCAGCAGCCTCGGGACGCGACACGGCAGCTCTCTGCTGATGGCGGGCCCGGGAAACAGTGTCACGCTGCTTAACCCGAGCCTCGCAGAGGGCTGGCTCCACCCGGGGACAGGCTGGGTGACAGGGGCCCTTCTGCGCCTCCCCACCTCTGGCGCCCACTCTCTGGGACCACGCCTGCACTCATTCATCGCCGGCTCAGATGAAGGTCAGCTTCTGTCCAGACTGGAAAGGCTAAATCACACAGCAGGGCCCAAATCTGGGGTCCGGAGCCTGGGACCTCCGAATCTCGGCATTCATTCCCCAGCCTGTCAGAAGCAGCGCACGCCAGGGTGCCGCGAGCACACGGGTAAACAAGCGCTAGATGAACTCTCCAGGGGTTGGGGTCCCAGCCCTGGTGGACGCCCCATGCTAGGAACCCTCGCTACCTCCCCGGGAGCGCAGGACGCCCGCCTCCCACGAGACACCCCAACTCGGGTAGGCGGCACTGTGAACCAGACGCCAGCCGGGTTGGGGGCCGCGTGCGGGGAAGCCCGGGAACCACGCTCGGAGGCGTGGCCTCGAGAAGAGGGCGTGTCCACAGGACAGGCCCCGCCCCTCCAGCAAGGGGGCGGGGCTTCGAGATCCGGAGCAGGCGGAGTGCGGGCGTGGCTGTCCCGGAGGAGGTGTGTTCTGTCAAAGCCCCGCCTCCAAAGGCAGGGGCGAGTCTCCCGGCGCTCCCAAAACCAGCTTGGGGGCGTGGGCGTCCCCGGAGGAGGCGTGTTCTGCGATGGAGCCCCGCCCCACCTGCGGGCTGCGAGCCGCGGTGCCGTGTAGCGCGCTGCCCCTCCCGCGCGGGCCACGTGGCGGCGCGGGCCGCC